ATGGCATTATAATGTCCCAATTTTATAATTTAAGTATGATTCTGCAAGTTTAGCAAGCATGCAAGCATGAAAAACAATTGTGAACATTATTTCATACAATTCACATAATTTCCACAATATCTGCAGAGTTCTCACAAAACAATTTATCGATAATTCATTTTAAAACGAAATGGGGCAAACCAAAATTCTTTGGAATCTAAACTCAGAAAATAATATGAAAAATTCACTCCCAATAGCTTAAGCATTTCCAATGAAAATCAGTTTTTACAAGTAAAGCAATAGTCCTCAACTTGAAGAAAATCTGGGTAATTTTGAGAGAAAATTTATAGAAAATTCATCCAACACCGGAATGTGGGAAACTAAATTTGTTTTGAATACTAAATCATGAAAGCATGAAACATAAATTTTTTGTAATCATTCGATATCGGGATATCCCCAAATAATTTCATAAACATTTGTCTTCAAACTGTGGTAGAAAACTGAGCAGTGACTACCGTCTGATTTTTACAAAACATAATACATGGCTTAAAATCATAAAAATTGGCAGAAACACACTTGATTGGTTTTAGAACTTGGGATAAAATTTTGAGAATTTTTATACATTGGGAAGTCAGCCAAACAACTTTGTCAAAACCTGTTTTCAAACGATGACGGGAGACTACATAGCAGCTACTCTCCAATTTTTATAAAACTAAGTACATGGTTTAAAATCATCAAAATTATAGAACCGTACTAGACTGATGTGGGAACTTGCTATAAAATATTTAGAATTGTTCAACTATTTTCTCAAAACTTCATTTTCCAGCAGTGACATGAAACTGGACAGCAGATACTTCCGGATTTTTAGAAAAATATCTATGTGCTCTAAAATCATAAAATTTTTATGATATATACTAGAATCATAGGAGAAGTTTTAGTAAAAATTTAGTTTCAATTGGAGTAACACAGTATTTAAATCAAAATTCATTTCAATGAAGGTAGATATATTCACAAGGTAAGATGTGTCATCAACAAGTGAATCATAGTAAGATTCAACAAGAATAGGGCATGAATTCATTAACTAAAATTAAGACAACAATGAATTTAACCACATAGGAGGCTGTCCAAAGCAAATAACATAATTATCCTACACTTAAGCATGCTTTGACATGAAAAACAACTAATTTATTCACAATAATCAAGGAAATTGTGCGTTAGACACCCCTACCTCTCAATTGAAGAAAAAGCTCCCAAAATACCCAAAATTGGAAATCCCAAACGGTGGCCAAACAACACTTTGCTCCAATCAAAATGTCGGCCTCGACGTACTCATCAACTTTGCCTTAAGCGGCAAAATCAAATTCTCAAAGGTGTGGGAGAGATCAAGCTTGAATTGTTGTAAAAAAAAAAAATTTAAAATTAAAAAAAAAAAAAACAAAACAAAACAAAGAATGAGATAGAGGTTACAGCGTGAGAGAGAGAGAGAGAGAGAATGGTCTGAATAATGGCCCTTTGGCCATTAAAATGATGAAATGGTGGGCCCACCAATAAAGAAAAATCTTCTCTTTCTAATATATATATATATATATATATATATATATATATTTCAATTAAATCACAACCACATAAACTAATATACAACCATTTAAATATGCACAAAATACAATGCATGAAATGCAATGGACCAGTGACACAGACCTCGTACTTAACTTCTCTTGTAATGGGTCCCACTTGGGACCTCTCAGTCCGAAAAATAAAAAAATGTCGAAATAGCAACCAATGCATTTTCAAAAGTTTTAAACTTAAGAAAATGCTCCAATCAACACTCTGACATACCCAGCACACCCCACGGTGTTCGGCACGCAAAACGAGATAAAGCGAAAATAATCTAAAAAAAAATCCAAAAAATGAAAAAAAAAAAATAAAAAAAAAGAAAAGAAAAGAAAAAAAAAATCATGATCATTACATGAACTTTCTCGGTTTTGGTGATTGGAGGATTTCCTTTATAAAGGGCAAATCGACTGTCCGAAGGGACGTCCGAACAGCCTCGTTACTCTTTGATGGCAGTCCGAACAGCCATGTTACTCTTTGATGGAACCTCTCGGCCCTCCTACCTCATTCCGGTGACCCTCTGAATGTGAGTGCTCAGATCTGACTGGTACATTTCGTCGAACATCTCATTTGTATTTGATTCATTCGGTAGTGGAGGGCCTGTCTCAACGCGTTCCTCCTCATCCTCTGGTCCTCTTCTTCTATGTCGTGGTTCAACATGAACAGATCCCGTTCATTCTGTACGTTGGTTGACATACTACACCTCCACCCTCTCGGCCTCTGGTGGGGGTGCGTGCTAGTTGATGCCCGGTGCCTCCACCCTCTCCACCTCCGGTGATGGCCGAGGGAGTCGGGGTATGTCCCTTAGCTCCACTCTCGAATAGAGCTCTACGTTCCCTCTTTGAAAGGTTTCAATGGCACCCATTAGCTCGTTGTTTCGGGTTTCTTCGTTCTCCGATTGTGGATACGAGTTCTCTTCTTTGACCATGGTCCTATCGGAGCTGAGTCGTGCTTAAGTTTAGGAACTTGTGGATCTCTTCTCGGTTCCCACCGATGGCACCAGATGAAGATGCAAGAAAACTATTCTATATTGATGGAAAGTTTTTCTCACACTCCAAACAATCGGTCTCTTTTGTCTATATTGCTTTCTGTATATATTACATTATTCATTACCATAGTTTCCTATCTTGGTTTCCAAGTTTAGGTTTGATGGGCTTCATTTGGCGTAAAGCAACCTATTTGGGCTGGCCCACTCTGGGACCCCTTTTTCTTTACTCAGACTCTGTGTCTATTGGGCTCAGCATCTTAGTTAGATTGGGCCTGGGGATCGTCGAATGACTCTTTTTAATGACCCAGTGGACTAGGTCGGGCTTGCCCCTTTTTAGGTCTGCTGTAAATCTTCTGGGCCGGGCTTGGCCCTTTTTCGGTTCGCTGTCAGTTTCTTCCCTTTCAGGTTCAGATCTGTTGTGCTCTGATGACTCTACCGGCGGAGAAGTATGACAGTGATCAATTGCTAGCGAAGTAAAATCATGGTCACTGGATAAATTTGACGGAGGAAGAGCCACCTGACCTCCACCAACCGCCGGTGGGGATTCAAAGCTGTGATTGCGAACGTAACATTCCGCTGCCCAACGGTCAATGCAGTCTATTCCGCTTTCAACGCTGCTGCCGCCACTGAGCTTCGTATGGAACATGGGGCTATTGATGGAGTCATCGCCGGAGTTGGCATCACGACCGACGAATAGATTGTAGACGTTCAGGGGCTGAAAGCGTCCTTATGGGTGGATTGGAGGTGAGACAGAGACGTTTTGATCGGGTTATTGATTTGGTGTTTCAAATCACAGCTCTAGGCATGAGATTCAAATTGTGGAATATTTAGGGTTGTAATCCAATCCCAAATCCTTCTTAACTGGTAACATCCAAACGGTAGATTTGGGGTTTGAGCTCCCAATTCCAATTCCAAAGGCGAATACGGTGCTGCCAGACATACCCTGTATATATTCAACAATAAAATGGGACATTGATAGGACTTTCTCTGCATTGCATTTGGATGGAAAAATAAATCCGCATATATGAGTTGGGTGTTAGTTTCACCTGATAATTTAAATTTTTGGATCAAATCGCGAAGCACTTCACCCATTACAATTGGTATCAGAGCCAGATACATTATTTGATTTGGTGTCACGCCAAGCGCTCCACTAAATGGGTTCGTATCAGCCACCCGGATAAGCAAGGTAGCCTGACCGCAACGAGGGCGTTGCAAATTACGGCGGGCTTCGGTGTCACGCCAAGTGCTCTGCTGAATGGGTCTGGGTCGGTCACTCGGGTAGGCAAGGTGACTCGACCGCAATGAGACCTTTGCAAATTCGGGTAGGGAAGAATGTTATAACGAGGACTTGTTTCACATCGAATTCAGATGAATTATTAAATGCATATATATGTGTTGAGTGTTAGCTCCATCTAATAACTTAAGTTTTTGGGCCTTATAAATAATAATAATTGTCTTACTTGTATTTATGATACATGATACAGTATACTTATAGAATAATTACAATCAAAGAAATCTTAATTAAATCTTAATTGTTCTTTCAAAATGCTTGTTGAAAAGTTCATTGTTAGCTTTATCTAATAATTTAAGCTTTGGGGCCTGATAAAAAGTAATAATAATAATAATCAAACAATAAAATATGACATTTACAAATAGTAATTGTTTTGCTTGTATTTATTATACATGATATAGTATACCTATAGAATAATTACAACCAAAGAAATCTTAATTAAATCTTAATTGTTCTTTCAAAATGCTTGTTAAAAAGTTTATTGTTATTGTGTCCCATTCATTCCAAGCAAAAAATTAAAAAAGTAGTAATCCTGTATCAGGATGCACCGCTTTAAGTGCCTGCACGTGCACCCACCGAATACCTACTCCAGGATTTAGAGGCAGACTAGAGCCAAAATAAATATATATTAATTAAAAAAATAAAAGACTAAAATGTATATAAAAATAAAAATGCTATACACTTTAAATAGCATATATATGTATATATTATTTTCAAACATTATCCTTCATGTCTCTGCTCTTCTTTGGACACATTTGGTCTAATACAACATATTTCACATCTATTTTCTTTGACTCTTTGATGTATTAAATCATACACGAAACTAGGAATTTGATAGTTACACAAATGATGTGACATTATTATTATTATTAAATGGAGGATTGGAGAGAACTAAAAGCATAGCAGAATCCAAATCCATAAGCATTTGCAAGAAGATTAACCAGTCCTCTCCCAAGGTTTACTTTGAACTTAATCATTGTCAGATTAAACTTCTAAAAAAGTTACTAATCAACTTTAGATGTTAATTTACCAAATTAGTCTACAACATTCACATGCAAAACCTTGTTAGTCTTAGAGGGTCACAACAAAGCTCTCCCTCAAAAAACCTGCATCTGCAATTGAACAAGACCATAAAGAGAACCCTAGAGCATGAATTGAACTGTCCTTATTGACAGTAAATTGAAAGATTTGTCAAAAAAATTCATTTCACTTCGAAAAGCATGGTAAGCATAACCAAAAACATTTGCTCTCCACAAACACAAATTTTAAAACAAAAACGAAAATAAGCAAAAGATAATATGCTACAACTTGGAATACCAAACGTACTGAAATTGTAACATTAGGAGGTCTTAGTATCAAATTGCATGGACAGAAACTTAACAGGAGGCTCATCTGATGTCTGGTCACAATCTCCGGTCACGTCTACAAAATTCAAAGAACAAAATATTCGATGCAAGCTCTCTCAACAGCAATATCAAGCTTTCCTGCAAGGAATAACCACAGTACCATCAGAAAAATATTTCATGCAAATTTTAATCCTCCAAATCCGTAAAACCAAAACTACCAATTGCATCTCAAAACCAACATACACACATCAGAGACCGCCGACATGACGTACACATTTTACCAGAAAAGCTTTCGTTTAAAATTTTTGGATCTAGGCCTTTCGAACCAGCTAGATTCCGGTATATATTATGCAAGAGCTAATTCTACCCACAAAGATGATTCAATGGCTAGAGAATCCAAATCGATGCATCATCTGAAATAAGTTTGTTTCCTAAGGCATGGTTCAATCAGGAGAAAGCAAGTCACTGTGCACACCATATACGCCCTCTTAACTATTGAAGTAACAAGTGTGTGTTTCATAACTGTAAGAGTACCTTTAGTAAACTGGAAAATAAAAAACACCCAACTCCCTGCTAAAACTGACCACTCACAAAGGTGGTGGACCCCACCAGTATGGAGTCGGGAAATCTATCAGTGGTCTTATTAAATCCATGCAAAGGGTGTAAAATTGATGAAGATTTCAAAATTTGATACGAACAGTTAATGATATACCTGCAAGTGTTTGTCGAATGAACAGTGTAAGATATACCTTGATAACTTTATTAGCGTCTGCTGGTTTTCCCAAGGGTGCGCTTCCCAGAGAACAAGTGCTTTGGTCTCAAAGTAGGAATGACTCTATCGGCCTCTCCCCGCCGAGCGTCCTTGTTCCTCTTCTTGTTGGAGTTCTTAGCCAGTTTTACAGCCTTATCAAATTGAGCAGTGTCTTTGAAACTCGCTCTAGCGACAACCATATCTTGTGGCTGTGACCTAGACCTTGAAACAGATCTAGACCTCATCCGCATTTTCTTATTAGAATGGCCAACATCAACATCCATGGTGTCACCGCGACCATTAGCTTCCCGGTCAACTGATCTCTCCCTCTTACGACCCCTTGACTTGCTACGAGCTCGGTTGATTGCCAAAGTCGGATCAAGCCCCAAATTTGATAATTGTCTTCCCATTCTCTCTGATGTGAACTTCCTCTCTTTGTCAAATTTTCTTGGTACAGTTGGCCGACTTTCCGCAGTGCTTTTCTTGATCCTATGTTGTTGAATAAGCAAGCTCTTCTTTTTCCGGATCTCATTCAGTGTTTCTTGCTCTTCGAGGGTCAATTCCTTATCATCCATCTCAAAATCATCATCTCCCTCCTGCTCCTGCCGATAACCTTCTTCTTGCTCCAACTCCTCAAGCCTTTGTACAATATCAGGATCAACAAAGTCATAGACATTGTGCCCATCAAGAATTTCTGGCATTACATCTTCCTTCCATTCATCGTGTAATAAGATATAATGCTTCCTCAAACTAGCGGAGTATACACCTGCACCACCATTCTCATCCTCCAAATCCCTTTCGAGCTTCCTCTTCTCTTTCTCTGCTTCCCTAGCTTTAGCTTCCAAGACTGCCTGGGGAATACATGGTGGCCTTTCTTTCTGGTCACGTGGCTTTGGCATTGCAACATGAAAGCGATTCAGACAGTCATTTATCTTTTTAGACTTCATTTTTAGTTCCACCCTCTGATTTAGTAACCTCTCACAAGCTGCATTTTTCACGGCAATTACCCCCTCCTCGGTCAAAGTGCTCATTGTCAAGAGCACTCCTTCATCACCTGTAGGTTCCCCTCCTTGACCTATCACAGTCTTCATAGCTTCAGCTTTCATTTCCATGACCAACTTCTTGTCTTCCTCGGATATCCCATCCAAAGGCTGCATATCAATTTTGTTGCAGACGATAATCAGCGGTTTGTTCATAAATAGAGACTTGATGCTGTGAAAAAGAGCTGCCTGTTGAGCAATGCTGTACCCACATGAACCAGAAATGTCCAAGAAGAACAACACAGCAGCTCTTAGATGTGCTAGAGCTGTGATACTGCACATCTCAATGATATTACGATCTTCAAATGGCCTATCCAAAATCCCTGGTGTATCAATCACTTGATACCTAAGGTATTTATAGTCTGTATGACCAACAAACAGTGACTTTGTAGTGAAAGCATATGGCTGAACATCCACATCTGCCCTGGTGATTTTGTTAATGAATGAGCTCTTGCCTACATTTGGGTACCCACAAATCAAGACCGTCCGGGTATTTGGGTCAATTGATGGTAGCCTAGCCATGTGTTTCCTGATCTCTTCAAGATAAGCCAAACTAGGGCCAATGCGCTTTGTCACAGTACACATGCGGCCAAGAGCAGCAACTTTCAGAGCCTTGCATCGGTAAAGTGAGTCACCATATTTTAACAATTTCAAATAGTCCTTTGCAATCTTACCAATGAGATTCCTTGCAGTATTAATTTGGCCAAGGGCAAGCTTGTAATGGTCTTTGTTGTAGAGAACATGAAGAAGATCACCATAGAAAGGATGGATATCATCAAGCCGAGGGAACTCCTCAATGATGGTAGAAAGCTTGTCGTGAAAGTTCTGCTGTGTGTACTTCACTTTCCGCATGTAAAACTCACGGATGCGAGTAATAGCATAACCTTTGTGAACAACGGTCGGTGTTTGACGTTGTGTGCGAGAAAGGATGATATCAACAAAGTCCTTCCCAGTGGGGACAATTGTGATTCTCTTAAAGTTGTACTGCACCATACTTTTTAAGTTTATGTTTTACTCTACACAACAAACATGGAAAAGATTAGAACTCAACAGCAAAATTAGTAATAGATATAAAACTCTAAAAGGTGACAAATACTTTTTAAGTTTATACGGATACAAGCAAAAGCCAACAAACTAATCATCATATCAGCAGGTCAATATAAGAACAACTTTGTTCACAATAAGAATACCCAAAAGTCCATTTGAAACACCAAATATGTACCATTCCCATGCAAAAAGGCATCAAAATAATAAAGAAAGAGTGTTGCTTCCCTTCATGTACAAAACTAAAAAGTTCACCATAACTAGAGCATCATCCTCCTTTTTTCTTAAAAGGACCGGTTCAAGTATTAATTTGCCACTATCGAGCATAATGGACTAGCATTGAATAATAATAAAGTCAAGGAAAATGAATTTCCCAAACCATCTTCGATTAGGATGTACACATATCTTTTGTTATATTATTGAATGCTTTGCTTCACAGAAGCAACCTAGCTGGTATACATATCCTAGTTGCTTGAAAACAGTATTCTAGAAATAAAAAAAGAAGCTATTTCAATCATTTTGAAGAAGAAAAAGGAAAATACATTATTCTAAAATTGAAAAAAAAAAAAAAAAAAAAAACTGCAACAACAATGATCAAGGATCAAGGGTTGGTTACATGATTCTGTTCAATTTTATTATCAAATCCCAAATAGAATCATATATGAAAACATATATATATGGATAAGTAGCATCATTTATGAAAACATAATCAACAGAAACTATAATATCATGAAGGCAGAGCCCTAAACCAAGAGTATCAGTAGGCAACAATTAACACGAGAGAGAACACACAAAAAAAAAAAAAATAAATAAAAGCAAACATGCTCTCGAGTCAATAAAATTCTAAATCAAGCCTAGAAAGCCAAATCCGAAACAACCCTAATTTAGTTTAAAGCAGTTTATTTATTTTCGTTTTTTTAGAAATTATTCACCCATGACAACATTTTGCTAACACTTAACTTAAAATTAACAAAAAAAAACTGTTTGATTACTGGAAAATAAAACAAAGAAATAAATTTCTCGAATTCATGCCACGTCTTGGGTCGATTTCTAGCATATAACCCTCTCAGCTGATAATACTAAATTCAATTGAGTAAATCTCGTTTCCTCTTTTTCTAAGACTAAAAAGATAACGAATACAGTTTTTCTAAGCAACCAAACAGATCGATAAAATGACCAAAAGCATAAATAGTAAAACCCCTAGAACATCAACATATATATACACAAAAAAAAAAAATAAAATAAAATAAAACAAAACGAAAAACGGAAAAATAGTGTGATGAACCTAACCTGTTGAATATTATTCAGTGGCCTCAAACTAAACGACTCAGCAGCGGCCGAGTCAGTGACTCGGTTTCGAAGATCTGGAAGCGGCGCACTGTGTCGCCTCCTTCAAGTTTTCAACTGCAAACAAATGAGGTTAAGCAGGAAGTGAAATTAGGGTTTTATAGGGGTTGAAGGAGAAGAAAGGAAGGGTTTACAACTTCGTCTGGTTGGATTTTGGGCCTTAGTCGGTAAGCCCAGGTCTGGTTGTATGGACTATTCACAAAGCCCAAGACATGTTTTAGCCCAACGTAACATGTCCTTCAACCTGATTTGATGGTAATTTTTTTTTTTTTTTTGGGAGAAAATTTAAAAAAAAAAAAAATTTTGCAAAGTATTGAAAAATTGTTAAAAAAAAAAACGTTGTAATTTCTATTGTAGATTTTGTACAAATCAAACTCTTAATTTGAGTATCATGAAAATTGATCCGAAAACGAAAAAAAAAAAAAAAAAAAAAAAAAAAAAAAAAAAAAAAAATTGATAGAACAATAAATGGAAAACTAAAAAATAAGGAAAGGGGCTATGAAAAACTGAAAAATAAGAAAGAAAAAAGAGACGTATTTTATGGAAATAAACAAGAGTAGTAATGATACCTATTTAAGTTTGAAATTTTAGAATAACCATGTCATAATTTATTTATATGGATTTTAAGTTGGGATATTAAAATCGTTAATAATATCATTTTCCTACGTTCTGTTGAAAGGAAAGAAGAGGGTGGAAGGAAAATAGGCTGGAAGTAACAAATTTTGTTTAGTTCGGTACAGATTATATAAGGAAAGAAAGAATAATAGGAAAGATGAGTTTATCTTTACAAATTTTCATCCTCCTAAATATGAACTGAAGATAGGAGAGAAACAAGTAAGCCTTGTATAGAGGTTTTAAATTACTACATCACCCTTCATAAATATTTAATAAATTCTATAAATAAAGTAAATGATGGGTTTAATGGTAAAAATAACTTAAAAATTTATCTTTCATTTTATTCTATAGATCAAATAAATTATTAAGTTTTTCTATTCTCTTTCATCCAACCGAACAAAAAATAGAGAAACTATCTAGGGATGTCTCAATCAATTCTTTCTTCTCTCTATTTCATTCAATTTTTTTTTTCTTTTTACCAAAACAGAGTAGACAAAAACAAGGAGAGAAATTTATAGAAGAAAATTTGGAAAGCACGCAGGCTTTGGCAGCAGAAATTGCAATTTTGTAAGGTAAAGTGCAATTTTGACATTTGTTGCTATATTGCTTATATTAGATTAGGAAAATGACAGTTGTAATCTAAGAAATATAGACACGAATATGGGCTACAGAAGGCAGTTACGTCCACGCATCAAGTTTTTAAAAAGTTGACACCAATACGGTGTGAATAGGAATGACGATTTCTCGCGACCCAGGGGTTTTCGCCCCTGTCCTTAATGGGACGGATTTGGTAACTCCTAAATGGATTTGGGGTTGGTATGATAAAATAATTGAAAATTCAAAACGGGTTTGGGGCTGGGACGGGGTGAATTTAGTGATGAATCCGCTCCGACTCTGTTCCAATTATATATATACCTTTAAAATATATATATATATATATATATATATATATATATATATATAATATTTTTAAGACTTTTATTACTTTGCTGGAATTGTAAGTTAATATATTAATATTCACTATTTAGTAATTTAAAAGTTGGATCAACTTATTTATCAGCTCAATTTGAACACAACCTGTCCCGTCCTGCCCCGCCCTGCAATTAAACGGAGTACGCGACAACGTTGGTATACTAATTACAAACGAGTCTAAGAGTAAAGGCGAAGTTGATATCACGGATTTATAACGGGGATAGAGTATCGTTTAACCAAACTCATCACAACTCTATCATGTTGCCATCCTAAGTGTGCACAAGACTAATATAAATATAAATTTTCATTTATATATCTATTGAGCAAGACAATTATGAAATTTTAACTAATTTATATTTATTATATTAAAGTTATATAAGTTAGAAGAAAAAAAATAAAAAAAAAATAAAATAAAATAAAACTGAGTGACAGTTATATAAGTTAAAAAAAAAAAAAAAAAAATTTGGATTTATATGAATTGTTCCTTACAGTTATTGCAAATGCAGTGTTTATTATTTAAATAATTTTGTCTTTGGAATCATTTAAAACTGGGTGACAAAGAACTAATTTTTTAAAGAAAAACTATCACGTGGGTGGTCTCTCTGATCTTAAACGCTTTAAAAGACATGTCTCAATAAACTTTCAATCCAACGATTGAGAGGGTACTTTAAACTAAATATAAATTGCTATTTGGTTAGAAAACAGTAATATGAGCTCTGGATTGTTATTAATTGCAAAATATTCATTTACATTTTAATTATTAGGATGCTAATTTCAGGAAATAGGTCTATTAGAGCATGTTTAGGCACGGAGGAAAGAGGAGGGATGGAATGTGTTTCCCTTGTTTGGTAGACGAGAGGACGGAATGGATGAGGAAAGCCCTTTCCTATGCGTATATCTCTAAACTTCCAAAATATTCTCATTTTGCTTATTGAATAGTATAATGGTTAAATCCCTTTCTTATTACTTCCTACTAATCTTCATTCCCTTCCTATTTTCCATCATTCATACCAAATGTAGTAGTGATTAAACAGCAAGTAGTCACTTCCCTTCCTAGTATAATTTTCCATCCAAATAGTAAAGCATAAAAATTCAGACAATTGGATTTTGCGAGTTCAATTTTATTACCTTGATCTTGATTATCTGAATGTTAAATGTATAGATATGTTCTTTTACACTATATACAAAATTACAAATTTGATGTTGGGTTTTACCTTATTTTATTCAACAAAATGGTAGGTTTGTATAAGTAGCAATAGAATGAGGAATGCGAGTCTTTTCGAGAGACTACAAGAAGGAATTAGGAGTACTCCAAGGGCAAGTTGTAGCATGTAGACAATACAAATCACTTTACAGTAGGGAAGCTGCAGGACCAGACTTGATAGAGCTATAAGGATAAGCTATTAGGAATGTGCATTAACAATCGATGCTAGAATAAATTCAAGGAAGCCCGAGTTTCCCAAGTTCAAAGATATTGGAAAGAATTTTCCATCCACTAACTTGAATTGCATACTTTGTTTCCACATTCATCATTTTCACAAGCCTTTGATTTAGGAACAGTTTCAATTTTCATTCCCTTCAAATGTACCATATGGAGCTGGCAAGACTTGAGGATTTTAATTGGAATAGATTCAGTTTTTCCATCACTCATTACATTCCATTGCCTTCATCTCTACATGTCCCCCATTACAATCTTTGTTCAATGCGAGTCCTTACCACTATTGATTTCAAATTACTCCTTCCTCTGAAATCTATACCTACAAGACCATTACACCATTCTTAAAGGTTAAACCTTAATTACTCCCTCTAACACAAACCCATTCATTTCAAATCCTTCAATCCAAAAGAGACCAAAAATATTATATAAATGACATGTGAAAAATAAAAAATAATAATAATAATAATAAGAGTACACACTTTTTACACACACCCATTATCCACAATGTCCCTAGTGAGATTCGAATTCTCAACCTCCCTAAAAGGGGAGGAGATATCATATCATTGGGCTATGGGACCTTTGGTGAGTACACACCTTGTTTGATTCAGTTCTGTCGAAGAGAATTATCAAGAACTTTGAAAAAAAATAAAAAGTCAGAGAATTTGTTTTTTGAAATTTGATCCTTTTCTCATTCTATTTTCAGAAAATGGTATTAGAAAGCTAGAAAACTGTCAATCAAACGAAATTTTGAACTGTCTTATGCTTTTCCATTCTCTACAAACAGATTACTACCCTTAAAAATTTAAACCAAAAGAATGTTTGAAAACATGGATATTTTGGTCGAAGTGATACCAGATTATGACTTCATGCCTTCAGAATACTCCATGAATTTCGTTATAGTAGAAGGAAAATTACTATAAGTGAGCACTGTCAAGTAATTATAAGTTTTCCACAAATATGGACTTCACCCATATTCTAAAATAAATTTATGCAATAAACCTTGCTATACTAATGAGTGGAGTATCATGGCCTACAGATAATATTGAACGACGGTATGAAGATTAATTTACAAATCGTATTAGTTTAGATCAACATGTCTTGATAGCATTTGTCCTATATATATAAACTTGATGATAAAATTAACATTTATAATCTACTGTTTTCACTTATTGTTTTGAAGTTTGTATTCATAAATAGCTATTATCTTTTTTCACCTCTCAAATCTACTTTTAATCCTTTCTAGCTATCTCACATTTAGTCTCTTTTATCTTTTGCTCTAATGCCAGAAGAAAAGTAAAGGGTTGTGCTCAGTTGACACAGCCATCCTGCTTCACTTCTTCTCAACATCTCATTTCAAGTTACACTAATCAGCTAGAAGCTACCAACAAACCTAGAAGCTCAAGGGAAGGGGTAAAATAGGGAAAGTGGTGAGTTAGAAGGAGTGAACAATCACAATATCATTCAAAATTAGAAGTACAATACATTGACACATGCATAATACATAATAGAAGCACACCATTCTATATGCACTAGGATACCTGAAATGCGAAGTTTAGACACGCTAGACAATCTTGCACTGTTACACGAAAACATACTGAGATACCAATAGATACTGAAGTTCTGTTTGTCCAATTCCTTTGCCGCATTGATTGAGAATCCTTCTACAGCATTGGAAACAGTTGCTCAACTCGACTAGCAGGTCACTTAAATGGAATATTTAATGGAGGAATCGATAATGGAGGATCAGAATCACTTGGCTTCTTAAAATAAGGAAAAGATTTAAGTGAGATCTGGCGAAATCCGTTCTCGTTCTCATTCGATTCTTCATCCTGGAAATATTGTTCATACTCGTCGGGTGGAACCACTTGAATGTTGTAGGTAGGCCATACAGGGGCCATTCTGTGCCAATCCCGCCAATCCCCTGGCATTGTCACTCCTATGGCATACTCTAGTGACATTCTTGAGATCTGCACTAGTTTCAAATTGCTAAGCCTGTCAAGGGGTCTCACTTTTTTAGACTCAACTTCATGTGTTGGCTTTAATTTGGGACAGTAACCAACAAAGAATATCT